TATGTGGACAAATATTCCTAAACAAGAAACTAAACATGTGGACAAATATTCCTAAGCAACACATTAAACATGTGGACAAATATTCCTAAACAACACACTAAACATGTGGACAAATATTCCTAAACAACACACTAAACATGTGGACAAATACTCCTAAACAAGAAACTAAACATGTGGACAAATATTCCTAAACAAGAAACTAAATATTTGGACAAATATTCCTAAACAACACACTAAACATGTGGACAAATATTCCTAAATAACACACTAAACATGTGGACAAATATTCCTAAACAAGAAACTAAACATGTGGACAAATATTCCTAAACAAGAAACTAAATATTTGGACAAATATTCCTAAACAAGAAACTAAACATGTGGACAAATATTCCTAAGCAACACATTTAACATGTGGACAAATATTCCTATACGAAGAACACGTGAATTGTATAAATTCTTCATTCATTTAAAAAATACACTTTAGATTCAGTTAATAGACAAAAAGATTTAATTTGTTAAACTAGAGGAATGAAGGTAAAACATGCTACGAAATCGATGTTGCAGCGTATTTACGAGAGTGTGAAGGCATGTGTGCGTTGTGATGGAAAATTAAGTGACTATTTCGAATGTAAAACAAGGTTGTACGTTAAGACCAGTTCTGTCTTGATTATTCAGTGATGGGTTGTGAAAGGAACATGGAAAACGTAAACCACGACAATTTAACCAAAAAAACCGTCTCGCCTATGTAAGGACATTATGTAGTGAGTTTGTATAAGGGTCGCGCCATAACAGTTGAGAATGATCTCCCCGCGCTCGCGTATAACAGTTGCTGTGTTTCAGTAAAAAGTGTGATCGATTAGTATTGGTGATGGTAAACATTCCAGATGAGGGGAGGGAGACAGTCCTTGTTGTCGTCTGGTCAAATCACTCAAAAGTAGACCACTACTGCTGATTCTATTTTTCTGGGGAGTAAACACCTCACCGGCAAGTGAACACTCAACAGACACCATACACCCTACGCCCTATGGACACCTTTACTGCACCCCAACTTCACAGGTCCCGTGAATACCCTACTGAACATCTTACCGGCGATACCCGTGAAGATCCGGGGTAGAACAGGTCTACAGCAACCCATGCTTGCCGTAAAAGGCGACTATGCTTGTCGTAGGAGGCGACTATCGGGATGGGGTGGTCAGTCCACAATTCTTGCCGTAAAGGCGACTATGCTTGTCGTGAGAGGCGACTAACGGGATCGGGTGGTCAGTACTTAATTCTAGCCGTAAAGGCGACTATGCTTGTAGTAAGAGGCGACTAACGGGATCGGGCGGTCAGTCCACAATTCTTGCCGTAAAGGCGACTAAGCTTGTCGTAAGAGGCGACTAACGGGATCGGGTGGTCAGACTTCAATTCTTGCCGTAAAGGCGACTATGCTTGTCGTAAGAGGCGACTAACGGGATCGGGCGGTCAGGCTCGCTCGTAAACAAAGATGGTGGTGATGATGATCATCTATTTCATGTTCATATCAACGAAGACTCAGTTAACACAATCTTAAGTCAGACACAATAAATATGCAACAATGGGCGTCATGGTATGATAGTTTTATGGTTGGGGGTGGCGCACCGTGACTGCATGGCACAACTACCATGGTACTGTCAACGTGAGACATTGCAACATCACGACGCTTGCTGTTTTGGTGGAAGCAGTGGAGAAATGTGTCATCTTGTTTGTTTGCGATTACTCTAATTTGTTCAATTATTAATAACATATAGACACAATTGCGTCGTTATCTGTAGACCTGACGTCAGGCGGCTGCCAATGGGATCGCAACACAGCGGCGTGTGAGAATTGTTTACATTTAACCTGCACTTTATACATTATAGAAACGGTAGTCTGAAACACACAATGACGAAAAACAACGAAGGAGTTCGTTAGGTACGAGCTTTATGCTATTTTGAATTGTATACATTTCCCGTCAAATCGATGAATTCAGTCTTAAAGTAAATGTAGCGTGATGCACGGACGAATTTGAATAGTAGTGTAATTTCAGTGTATAGAGTATTGCAGACAAGTAATCGACTTAGGTAGTGTGCGTGTTGAGAGAAAGATCTGTGTTACCTGTGACTAGGTTTCAAATCATGGACCAATGGTCGACACTGCGAGTACACCGTCGGGGAACTGTGTCCAACAACATCAGAAAAGACACCAATGTCGCCCATCAGGTTCCTCAAGTCCCCTCATTCACAAATGACACATTCAGGGCAGAATGTCTATCCCAGGAATGCTGCAGTGATCGATTTCTCTAGTGGGATTCAAGTGTCTCTATAACTATATCCCAAGATTGTTACAGCGGGGGCACGGGTGGCCCAGTCGTCTAAGGCGCCGCGATTAACTGTGCAGAGTTGCGTCCCTTAGGGTTCGAATCCCGGTTCGCCCCGATTATGTTTCTAGGTTTGTCAGCAGTCAGCACCATACACGTGCTCGTGGGTTTCATCGAAGTGGTAAACGTCTGAGACCTGCATCACTTCGGGCTTTCCTCCCACATTAAGCTGACACGCCGCGATATAACTAGAATACTGTTAAAAGCGGCGTTAAACCCAACTCACTCACTCACTCACTACAGCGGAAACCCTGTAGTAGAATTCCAGCATTTCAATAGCGAAATTTTCCTTTTGCAGAATCCCAACACAGCTAAAGGGGAATTGTGGTATTTTATTAGCCGAATCCCAGCATTTTTATAGCCAGAATCTCTGCATTTCTATTGCGAAATAACAAGATTGCTATAGCGGATTCCTATCATTTCAATAGCGGAATCCCGGAATTTCTATAACTGAATTCAAGCACTTTTTCCATAGCGGAATCCCAACACAGCTATAGCGGAAATCTGGCATTTTCATAGCGCAATCTCTGTTGTAGAAACCCAGCAATTCTATACGGAATCTCAGCATTTCTATGACGGAATTGCACTTGGTCGGTAAATTCCGACAACAGCAGCTACCCGGTCAAAGATGAGTCGCTGGTTAAAGAAACCGTGGTCATCGCTCTGATCAATCACCCACCCTCCCATTCCTCCCTTCATGGCGCACTTCACGTGCACTCATCACGTGGTCTTCATATCTTCAAAGCAATTTTTTTATGTTTAATTTTGTTTCATTTCACAACCACACTATTGCTATCATTGATACATACTCACCTGACGAAATGTGTGTTTATTATCAGACTGTCAGTGATTCCTGGTTTCGTATGTCTGTAATATAGCAAACGTGGACACCTTCAAGCCTTCCACGGGCACACTAGACTGACATTTAGCAAAGAAATAAAATTATCTTATTTAAAAATGACAATCTACCAAATAAAAATAATAATATCCAAATGGAGCCCAGAACCACCCTTCATTTCAGAGCTGAGACAGTCAAGACTTGCCAAAACATTCTAGACTTGAGTTGGACTCCTTTCTTAATTTTTGCTCTTGGGTCTGGGATACAAACTACGCGCACACGTACGTGAACCGTTTACACTAAAGCAGCGTTTGCAATCGGTTTGTCGTCACTGACAAAAGCCATGTATTTCCTCACACCCTTAAACACGTGTCACTGAATCCCAGGAACTATTGCTGTTGTGTGATCCGGTCCATCATTCCATGTCCCAGACATGGGCACGGCAAATACCGTCCATTGACTATGTACCTGTGAAGAGAGACAACAATGTACCCAGCCCAGTCATCCTCGCCAGCCATCAACACCATTAATTATTCATGGTCCACCAAGTGGGGCAAACAACACTGCATATGTAGCGGAACCGATCGCTATATTCTCAAGTTATAACAGTTAGCAATCGCTGTGGGAATTCCGCTCAGGTGAAAAACGCTTTGAAGTCGCCGCTTGAGATTTAAGTAAAGACACGCGAGGGACAACTGAGTATTACGTCACCGTGTGTTGCATGAAGCGTAAGAATCAAAACACGATGACGAATTTCAAAACAAAGGTTGTGTCACCTGTGATATGCGATGCCATCCATTTGCCTCGGGTGAGATGGGAAGGTGTAACACTGGGATCAGTGCAACTGCACTGGGCTGATACATGTCACGGCATGTCACACTCCAAGCTCACGTGCGGGAAATGCGCTCATTTCAAGATGTAGAGACGTCGAAAGACGTTAGATGGACACATCGTCTACCCGTGATATCGTTGTTGTCGATGGCGATGTTTTGTCTCCTCATGTTGCGGAGGAAGTGTAAAGTGATGCTTTCTTATTCAAGCAACCTGTCACAACAGACCCTGCTACTATTACAATTATATGCTATATAAATTATACAATATGACAATACATGGGAGCGAGTGATGGATGCATATTGGGGATGACAGTATGTTTGGGAAGGCGACATATGGGTGATGGTGGATTGAAGTATATGGGTGATTGAGGTATATTGGAATGGTATATTGGAATGGAGGTATATGGGTGATGGCGGTATATAGGGGATAGAAGTATATGGGGGATTGAGGTATATGGGGATGGCGGTATAAAGGAATAGAATAGATGGGGTGTCGGTATATGGATAATGGTGGTATATGGGGGATGGCGGTATCTGGGGATGGAGGTATATGTAGGATGGAGGTATATGGGGTTGGAGGTATATGGGGGATAGAAATATATGGGGATTGTGGCATATGGGCTTTGAGGTATATGGCGGTATAAAGGAATGGAATAGATGGGATGTCGGTATATGGGGCGGGGGTATATTGGGGATGGAGGTATATGGGGGATGGAGGTATAAGGGGATGGAGGTATATGGGATGGAATAGATGGGGTGACGGTATATGGGGGATGGAGGTATATGGGGATGGAGGTATATGGGGATGGAGGTATATGGGGATGGAATAGATGGGGTGACGGTATATGTGGGATGGAGGTATATGGGGATGGCGGTATATGGGGGATGAAGATATATGGGGGGTGGCGGTATATGGGGGATTGAGATATATGGGGGATGGAGGTATATGGGGATGGGGGATGGGGTATATGGGGGATGGAGATATATGGGGGGTGGGGGTATATGGGGGATGGAGATATATGGGGGATGGAGGTATATGGGGATGGAGATATATGGGGGATGGGGGTATATGGGGGATGGAGAGATATGGGGGATGGAGGTATATGGGGGTGGGGGTATATGGGGGATGGAGATATATGGGGGATGGAGGTATATGGGGATGGAGATATATGGGGGATGGGGGTATATGGGGGATGGAGATATATGGGGGATGGAGGTATATGGGGATGGAGATATATGGGGATGGAGATATATGGGGGATGGGGGTATATGGGGGATGGAGATATATGGGGGATGGAGGTATATGGGGTGTGGGGTATATGGGGGATGGAGAGATATGGGGATGGAGGTATATGGGGGGTGGGGGTATATGGGGGATGGAGATATATGGGGGATGGAGGTATATGGGGATGGAGATATATGGGGATGGAGATATATGGGGGATGGGGGTATATGGGGGATGGAGATATATGGGGGATGGGGGTATATGGGGATGGAGATATATGGGGATGGAGATATATGGGGGATGGGGGTATATGGGGGATGGAGAGATATGGGGGATGGAGGTATATGGGGGATGGAGATATATGGGGATGGAGATATATGGGGGATGGGGGTATATGGGGGATGGGGGTATATGGGGATGGAGATATATGGGGATGGAGATATATGGGGGATGGGGGTATATGGGGGATGGAGATATATGGGGATGGAGATATTTGGGGGATGGGGGTATATGGGGGATGGAGATATATGGGGATGGAGATATATGGGGGGTGGGGGTATATGGGGGATGGAGAGATATGGGGGATGGAGGTATATGGGGGATGTAGATATATGGGGGATGGGGGTATATGGGGGATGGAGATATATGGGGATGGAGATATATGGGGGGTGGGGGTATATGGGGGATGGAGATATATGGGGATGGAGATATATGGGGATGGAGATATATGGGGGATGGGGGTATATGGGGGATGGAGAGATATGGGGGATGGAGGTATATGGGGGATGGAGATATATGGGGATGGAGATATATGGGGATGGAGATATATGGGGATGGAGATATATGGGGGATGGGGGTATATGGGGGATGGAGGTATATGGGGGATGGGGGTATATGGGGATGGAGATATATGGGGATGGAGATATATGGGGGATGGGGGTATATGGGGGATGGAGAGATATGGGGGATGGAGGTATATGAGGGATGGAGATATATGGGGATGGAGATATATGGGGATGGAGATATATGGGGGATGGGGGTATATGGGGGATGGAGGTATATGGGGGATAGAGGTATATGGGGATGGCGGTATAACGGAATGGAATAGATTGGGTGACGGTATATGGGGGCGTAGGTTTATTGGGGATGGCGGTATATGGGGTTGGCGGTATAAAGGGATCGAAAAGATAGGCGAACGGTATATGGGGGATGTAGATATATGGGGGATAAAGGTATATGGGGATGGCGGTATATGGGAATGGCGGTATATGGGGATGGCGGCATGTATTGATGACAGTTGGTTCCGCTGATAAAAGTTGAATATACCATCGAGTGATGGAATGATCCGGTGATGGGTGATGATTATTTAATATGGATGGGATTATTGGATTATTCAAAATATTGAACGAAGCGAAAAAGACACGTGCGTGCGTGCGTGGTTTGACAGCTTGTATTCGCCCGGACTAATGCCGGTTTTACAGTCCCTTGAGATACCATGTCGCAGTCTAACATGGATACCCAACTCAGACAAGGGTATACGCACTCCCAGCCGACCGGTCTTTGGTTTCTCACCTTAATGCTGAGCGCCAGGTATGGTAACATCAAGTACCGTCTGTTAACGTCTTTTGGTATGACGCGGCGAGGGGATCGAATCCCGGACCTTGGGCCCTCCGTGAATCAAGCACTCTAAAACACAGTATTGATGTCCGCCATTACGTGCACAGAGTGGAATCCACCATGTACTTGGCCTTTGGTGTGCGTGGGTTCAGTGTGTGTGTTAACGCAGCTAGCCTTCTAACAGTTGCCACATTGTTGGTGATGAGGGGGGGGGGGGGGGGGGGATTGTTATTGGTATATTCCATCCGACCTCGACGTTGTAATTAAAATAACTTACATTTATTAATACTCTATTGATTGCAGCGTTCGAGTGGTGATCAACATGTGGAGTTTCTGAAGACGGGGGTAATTGCACTGTATGTGGGCCATAATGGGATTTGGGGAATTAAATATGGGACAATAATTGGACCTCAAGTATTCGAACAAATACTGCAAATCATTATCGGGACAGGATGGAGATGGAAATCATTTATCATAACATGAGACGGTTATTCCTGACGTAAAGTGCGTAAAAATACCCTTCTACTTCAGCGTCTCAACCCGAGTGTTTGCTGATCCAGAAATATTGGCAGCTTATTAATGCCAACATTGTTATAATAACCATAAATCCATCAGGGCCACAACACGCACATTCACCAAGTGTCTTAAGAAAACGGTTGTTGTTTCCAAACACCAACCCCCCACACCCACACACTTGGTTGGTTCTGTGTAAGAGAGTGGCGGGTGGAAGAGCTGGACTTGGTTGGTTCTGTGTAAGAGAGCGGCGGGTGGAAGAGCTGGACTTGGTTGGTTCTGTGGAAGACAGTGGCGGGTGGAAGAGTTGGACTTGGTTGGTTCTGTGGAAGACAGTGGCGGGTGGAAGAGCTTGCCTTGGTTGGTTCTGTGTAAGAGAGTGGCGGGTGGAAGAGCTGGACATGGTTGGTTCTGTGTAAGACAGTGGCGGGTGGAAGAGCTGGACATGGTTGGTTCTGTGGAAGACAGTGGCGGGTGGAAGAGCTGGACATGGTTGGTTCTGTGGAAGAGAGTGGCGGGTGGAAGAGCTGGACTTGGTTGGTTCTGTGTAAGACAGTGGCGGGTGGAAGAGCTTGCCTTGGTTGGTTCTGTGTAAGAGAGTGGCGGGTGGAAGAGCTGGACATGGTTGGTTCTGTGTAAGACAGTGGCGGGTGGAAGAGCTGGACTTGGTTGGTTCTGTGGAAGACAGTGGCGGGTGGAAGAGCTGGACATGGTTGGTTCTGTGGAAGACAATGGCGGGTGGAAGAGCTGGACTTGGTTGGTTCTGTGTAAGACAGTGGCGGGTGGAAGAGCTGGACTTGGTTGGTTCTGTGTAAGAGAGTGGCGGGTGGAAGAGCTGGACATGGTTGGTTCTGTGTAAGAGAGTGGCGGGTGGAAGAGTTGGACTTGGTTGGTTCTGTGTAAGACAGTGGCGGGTGGAAGAGCTGGACTTGGTTGGTTCTGTGGAAGACAGTGGCGGGTGGAAGAGCTGGACTTGGTTGGTTCTGTGGAAGACAGTGGCGGGTGGAAGAGTTGGACTTGGTTGGTTCTGTGGAAGACAGTGGCGGGTGGAACAGCTGGACTTGGTTGGTTCTTTGTAAGAGAGTGGCGGGTGGAAGAGCTGGACTTGGTTGGTTCTGTGTAAGAGAGTGGCGGGTGGAAGAGCTGGACTTGGTTGGTTCTGTGTAAGAGAGTGGCGGGTTGAAGAGCTGGACTTGGTTGGTTCTGTGGAAGACAGTGGCGGGTGGAAGAGTTGGACTTGGTTGGTTCTGTGGAAGACAGTGGCGGGTGAAAGAGCTGGACTTGGTTGGTTCTGTGGAAGACAGTGGCGGGTGGAAGAGCTGGACTTGGTTGGTTCTGTGTAAGAGAGTGGCGGGTGGAAGAGCTGGACTTGGTTGGTTCTGTGTAAGAGAGTTGCGGGTGGAAGAGCTGGACTTGGTTGGTTCTGTAAGACAGTGGCGGGTGGAAGAACTGGACTTGGTTGGTTCTGTGTAAGAGAGTGGCGGGTGGAAGAGCTGGACTTGGTTGGTTCTGTGGAAGACAGTGGCGGGTGGAAGAGCTGGACTTGGTTGGTTCTGTGTAAGAGAGTGGCGGGTGGAAGAGCTGGACTTGGTTGGTTCTGTGTAAGACAGTGGCGGGTGGAAGAACTGGACTTGGTTGGTTCTGTGTAAGACAGTGGCGGGTGGAAGAGCTGGACTTGGTTGGTTCTGTGGAAGACAGTGGCGGGTGGAAGAGCTGGACTTGGTTGGTTCTGTGGAAGAGAGTGGCGGGTGGAAGAGCTGGACTTGGTTGGTTCTGTGTAAGAGAGTGGCGGGTGGAAGAGCTGGACTTGGTTGGTTCTGTTGAAGACAGTGGCGGGTAGAAGAGCTGGACTTGGTTGTTTCTTTGGAAGACAGTGGCGGGTGGAAGAGTTGGACTTGGTTGGTTCTGTGTAAGACAGTGGCGGGTGGAAAAGTTGGACATGGTTGGTTCTGTGTAAGACAGTGGCGGGTGGAAGAGTTGGACTTGGTTGGTTCTGTGTAAGACAGTGGCGGGTGGAAGAGCTGGACTTGGTTGGTTCTGTGTAAGACAGTGGCGGGTGGAAGAGCTGGACGTGGTTGGTTCTGTGTAAGACAGTGGCGGGTGGAAGAGCTGGACTTGGTTGGTTCTGTGGAAGACAGTGGCGGGTGGAAGAGCTGGACTTGGTTGGTTCTGTGGAAGACAGTGGCGGGTGGAAGAGTTGGACTTGGTTGGTTCTGTGGAAGACAGTGGCGGGTGGAAGAGCTGGACTTGGTTGGTTCTGTGGAAGACAGTGGCGGGTGGAAGAGCTGGACTTGGTTGGTTCTGTGTAAGACAGTGGCGGGTGGAAGAGTTGGACTTGGTTGGTTCTGTGGAAGACAGTGGCGGGTGGAAGAGCTGGACTTGGTTGGTTCTGTGTAAGAGAGTGGCGGGTGGAAGAGCTGGACTTGGTTGGTTCTGTTGAAGACGGTGGCGGGTAGAAGAGTTGAACTTGGGTGGTTCTATGGAAGACAGCGTCGGCTGGAAAGGCTGGACTTCTGCGGAAGAAAATGGCGGGTGGAGAGGAAGGAGTCATGGGATTGTGTTGACTTTGGTGTTTGTAGAAGAGGGGTGCGATGTAGATCTACCATCAGTGCATGCCACCAGTCAGGACGATTTGTGGCAACATTCTTCTTCGGAGAATGAGTATGATAGATAGAAAATAATGAATGTAATGATTAATCCTAAGAGCCATAGCATGCTGATCTCGAGGTGTCTGTTGGCCACATGGTTCATCTCTATATGGTTACAAAAACGTCATAACTATTACTGCTGACGTAATTGTTTGTTAATGAACGCCTTCTACGAAACTGAAAAAGACTCAGAAACAGACCTTAATTTGTTTCAATTGCCGTATTGAATTACACATGTCAGAGAATTCCTCATCGTCACACCCACATTAGTTATCCTACACAAGAACAATCTCTGAAAAAGATATGCAAATCATAAATGAATTAGGAAAGGAGGCTACTCAGACAGCGAATCTTAATATGTTAGTTGATGCCCCCTGAAAATAAACATGGCGCCCACTTCCAAATCTTAGATAATTAAACCAAACCAATCATATTTCATAAATGAGAAACATAATCTTGAAGAATAAAAACACGAATCTTCTTGGCAGATGTGGTTGTAAAGAATGCGGAATTTCGCACTTTATATTTTATAGATGTATTATAATATAGTTACTACTTACACCAGCACTACTAATAACACAACCACCACCACTACTACTACTACTACTACTACTACTACTACTACTACTACTACTACTACTACGACTACTACTACGACTACTACTACTACTACTACTACTAGTACTTCTACTACTACTACTAGTACTACTAATACTAGTACTACTACTACTACTAGTACTACTACTACTACTACAACTAGTACTACTACTACTACTACTACGACTACTACTACGACTACTACTACTACTACTACTACTACTAGTACTTCTACTACTACTACTAGTACTACTAATACTAGTACTACTACTACTACTAGTACTACTACTACTACTACAACTAGTACTACTACTACTACTACTACTACTACTACCACTACTATGGGCCACGTTTGCTCAAAGAGCCAATGATGTGGTTACGATGGTCACATTACCCTCCATCGAACTGCATCGGGGCAGTTTTGTTCTTCCATGGTCTCTTTTCACTTTCAGCGTTAAATTTTAATTCACATTCTCAATCTGAAAATAATAACCTGTTTCTCTGCAATCTTGAAACGGACCATACCGCCCACGCCAAATCGATCTGTCGTCCGCCGACTTTGGCGGGAAACGTCTTGTACGTGACAGCAGATTAGGAGACGGTGAGCGTCACAATGGCAAGAAATCCATCATACGATTTCTTCCTCTTTATCAGCCAAAGGCACATTATAGCAGAGTAGACGACAGCCAATAACATTACCTAAGGCTGCGTATGCAATACGTGCCCCCATTACAATTCATTACTGTAATAGCTTGTCAAGCTAGTCCCGTAACTCCGGATCGCTGAACTAACTCCCGTAGCTCTCATTACTATCAATTTCATGTTAATTGGCACGGTTTAGAAAATAGGAGAAAATGGATATGGTTTTAAGTCACCCCCGCATCTTAACTGAGAAAGCCTGCATCGGTGACACAGACGTCAGTCAGATTTGACAGTGGGGCTGCCTTATTACAGTGCCTCTACGACGTACATGTTAGTGTTGCTCCATACTCCGGCCAATTTTAGAAAAACAGATGCACGATTAGCAATAAATTGACGGCACGCAAAGCGTAAAAAATGTGATTACATAAAGTAAACATAAATATTAAAAATAGAACCGCCCACTACTAGTCAATTCCAAGCAGTCGTTAGCAGATTTCTTTAAAGGTATGTCGTTCGCGAAGGACTAACGACCCGTTTTAAGAGACCATTTATCACAGTGTGTGACATCTCACAAAGATATCCACAACGAGTGGATCTAACGACTAAACGACAAAGGAAAAGGATGTTTTCGATGAAATACACTGTCAGTGACTATTTAAATTTCTACAACATACGTGCGGGGCATTGGTCGCCTGGCAGCCCACTCATCTGGGGAACTCACTTGCGGGTCAGAGTTGCGGCACGTTAAGGTTGCAGGATTCGTCGACCATATGTCGGATATGCTGCAAAATACTTTAAATATTGTTGTAGAAATGAAAAAAAAAGTGACAAAAAACTCTCCACAAGACTGTATGACAAGACGGATACTTCGACTTTCTAATTGTCAGCTTTTCCTTTATGTCGAACAATATTCCAGCAGCTCCAACCTTTGTTTTATACATTTCACAACTTTGAGGTTCAAAGAGCGTCATACGAATCTTGCTCAAAAGTGTTTTGGTCATAGTTACAACATCCAAGGCCTCGGTAAAACTTTCAAAAGGTTTTTAAAGTTGACATGTGGAGAAAATTTCCCAATTTGACGAATCAGTTAAAAATAATGTCCAATGCAATTCCCTAATTTGACTTCTACCATGTCATCCGTGTCTTTTTTTCAGTTTTAGAATTGACTTGCCTTTGCATGCGTTTGTGAGGAATGCCACCGGTGGGGCAGGATACGCTCACCTTTTCGGGAACACCTGGAATCAGGTATATTTGATAGTGACTTACAAACACATGCTTATAGTGTAGTCGGAATCGTACAGTGGACTTTTCTTTAAGTGGAGGATTCGTGTGGCTGTGGACACGTTTTTGTTGCTATTATTGTATTATATACCAACGTGCTTGAGGCAAGGGTTGAATGAGTGAATAAGTATGGTGTTTCAGTGTGAACGACCTGCAAATGATACACATATTGTGTTTCAGTGTGAATAACCTGCAAATGATACATATATTGTGTATCAGTGTGAATAACCTGCAAATGATACACATATTGTGTTTCAGTTTAAGTGACCTGCAAATGATACATATATTGTGTATCAGTGTGAGTGACCTGCAAATGATACATATCTTGTGTTTCAGTGTAAGTGACCTGCAAATGTTACACACATTGTGTTTCTGTTTGAACGACCTGCAAATGATACATATTTTGTGTTTCAATGTCAATTACCTGCAAGTGATACATATGTTGTGTTTCTGTATGAACGACCTACAAATGATACACATATTGTGTTTCAGTTTAAGTGACCTGCAAATGATACATATCTTGTGTTTCTGTAAGAACGACCTGCAAATGATACACATATTGTGTTTCAGTATGAACGATCTGCAAATGATACACATATTGTGTCTCAGTATGAACGACTTGCAAATGATACACATATTGTGTTTCGTTATGAACGACCTGCAAATGATACACATATTGTGTTTCAGTATGAATGACCTGCAAATGATACACATATTGTGTTTCTGTGTGAACGACCTGTTAATGATACACATATTGTGTTTCAGTATGAATGACCTACAAATGATACATATCTTGTGTTACACTGTCAACGACCTGTAAAAGATACACGTTGTTTTTTGTTTTTTTAAATACAACAACAACTGAAGTTCAGAGAAGGCGGTTCTGACTGGTTTCAGAAAAATATCAATTTTAGTGTAACCTCAGCCTCTGTACACATTCATCCCAATGTGAACCCAACCACTGCGCATGTGCTTTTATAACGCTATATCCTCGTCTCAGAACCTCTTTATATATAGATTTATCACACAATATTTGTTTACATCGTTTGTTGAGAAAAGTGTATCAATGTATGCGTGTTTTCGTTTATGCTGAGTGTCTATATTATATAACGTGGGAGAAAACCGATCTATTAAACGCCCTCGCAAACAATGTAGACGTGAAAATATCGGCACCGGTTTCTATTCTATAGCCACAACACTACGTGGGCTTCCCATCATGTGACTCGTGATATCGGCCCCGGGACATTCAGGTTCAAGCCAAGTGAGTGGTCTCTAAGAGAAAGGTGCGAATGAATGTTGTTTAACGCTGAAGTCGGAAATATTCCAGGTATATCACGGTGAGCTGTAACTATGGACAAATCAAACCAGTGACTGAAAGCATGAGTAACGATCCATGTCATCGGAGCAAATTGACACGCAGTCAGCCAAGTCACCACCCGATCCACTCTAGTCGGTTCTTACGAGGTAATTCTTCCCCCGAATTGCCACGGGGTCAAAGAAGAACTGTCGCGAGAAGTGGGTGCGTGCTAGAGTGGGGTGGGAGGAGTTTTGGTTGGGAACTGATGGGTCCTTTCCGGGTTCATTTTGTATCACTACTCTGGTTTCAAGTTCTTGGGCCACTAACCTCAATCATTGAGGGTGTATTTCCAGTAAATGAAGAGTCTTCAAAGTTTCGCAGCATGGTATGCTGGCGATAGCGATATAGACGCATGGTATCTGTACCACATTACGGGGCTGACACGGTGTGTGACGTCACGTGAGGATGTGGGTCCGAGGTGGTCCGAGGTGGTCCGAGATCCGGCCTGATGTACACAGTGTATAACGTCACGTGAGGATGTGGTTCTGAGGTGGTCCGAGATCCGGCCTGATGTACACAGTGTATAACGTCACGTGAGGATGTGGGTCCGAGATCCGGCCTGATGTACACAGTGTATGGCGTCATGTGAGGATGTGGGTCCGAGATCCGGCCTGATGTACACAGTGTATGACGTCACGTGAGGATGTGGGTCCGAGATCCGGCCTGATGTACACAGTGTATGACGTCATGTGAGGATGTGGGTTCGAGGTGGTCCGAGATCCGGCCTGATGTACACAGTGTATGACGTCACGTGAGGATGTGGGTCCGAGATCCGGCCTGATGTACACAGTGTATGGCGTCACGTGAGGATGTGGGTTCGAGGTGGTCCGAGATCCGGCCTGATGTACACAGTGTATGACGTCACGTGAGGATGTGGGTCCGAGATCCGGCCTGATGTACACATTGTATGACGTCATGTGAGGATGTGGGTTCGAGGTGGTCCGAGATCCGGCCTGATGTACACAGTGTATGACGTCACGTGAGGATGTGGGTCCGAGATCCGGCCTGATGTACACAGTGTATGAC